AAAATACGTGATAAAAAGTGAGGTTGTTTGTAAGATAAAATTCTTGTATTATTGTAAATGGCTTGTTTTATGAGAAGTTGACCGAAAACTAGACGAAATTTTGAACAGTATGTGTCTAAAGAGTGAAAAATGTACCAGCGGCTCGCGTGAAATAGAAAATACAATAGGCACCAGTGGTCATTGCATATAAAAAACCCAACCTCGATCCGTCGACTAAGACCACCTCGCTAGGTCCATCCAACATATCATCCTTTCTTCATGTAGAGGGTTGTCCTCAGCAAATCTTGGACCGGGTCAATAAAAAAAAACATTTGGAAAAAATTATACAGCAACATAGAGGAACTAAAAATAATATCGTCATGTCAATCGAGCTTCAGGAAGCACCATAGTACCACCTCGGCACTGTTAGATCTTTGTGATAATGTTATTAGGGCAGTTGACAAAAAGTTAGCAACAACAGTGGTATCAATTGACTATTCCAAAGCATTCAATCGAATAAATCATAAACTTTTGTGCGCCACGCTGAGGTATATGGGCTTCGATGATGCTGCTGTCAGTTTTTTCCGTAGCTATTTGTCCGGTCGCACGCAATGTGTCGCAATCAATAACGATCAATCCAATATTACGACTATTGCGTCAGGAGTTCCGCAAGGCTCAATTTTGGGACCTGTGCTCTTTTTGATTTACACGTGTGACCTGCATAAAGCAGTTGACAATTCGGGGATACAAACATTTGCAGACGATACTCAAATAATATTCCATTTCAACGCCTCAGATACGCAAAATTCATCAGACATTTTACAGCTTGATTTAGATAAGGTACATCAGTTTTCTATGGAACATAATCTTGCTATCAATCCAGATAAGACACAAGTGTTATTGTTTTGTTCTGATCAGAAGAGGAAAACTGTCGAAGATTCTTTCCATCTGACTATTGATGGCATAACATTACAGCATACTCAAACAGCTAAGGTACTAGGAGTGGAAATTGACACAAAATTAAGATGCCGCAGCCAAATAGCTAATTTGGTGAAAAAAACTTACCTAGGGCTCTTTATTCCAATCGCTACTTGCTTAACTTTAAGCTGAGAAAAAACTGTGCGAATCTTTGGTGATGTCAATGCTCAGTTACTGTGATGTCGTTTATTATCCATGCTTGAATCAATTGACCAAAAATCGTCTTCAAATCATCCAAAATAACTGTGTTCGCTTTATTTATGGGTTGCGTAAGTACGATCACGTAAGTGATAAATATAGGGAATTGAACTGGCTTAGGTTGGGAAGTTTGGTTAAACATAAATTCTTAGTTTTAGTTCATAAAATAATATTGTCATCAAAGCCTGAATATCTAAGAGCTAAGTTAAGATTTAATTACGAAGTGCATGACAGGGCTGTTAGGAATCGTTATAGTATCAGAACCACCCCACACACTTCTGCATTATTCCAACGAGGATTTACATATTATGCAGCACTATTTTATAATCAGTTGGACAACAGTATTAAATTGATGTCTCTGGAAACTTTTCGTAAACATACTAAAAACATGTTGCTCGCTATTGATTAAATAAGAATTTCTGCTACAGATATACATTGTGTCTATTTGTATTTTATACTTAGGTATATATGTGTTCTTTTTTTTTCATTGTTCTTATATTTTTTTCCATTTTTTGAACATCAGATGTAACCGACATAAACAGTTAAGTGTAAGAGTGGCCTTGGCTAAACTTCGCTGATTATGTCCCTCCGGGTTATCCAATAAAGGCGTTATTATTATTATTATTATTAATAGGGATAGGCAGACCATTGCAAAATGCTAGCATAAACGTATTGACACTTTACTTAACCTTGGACTATCCGACCGATTATGTATCTATCCCCAGCAGGTTTAGTGTATGTACAAAAGGACTCCAATACTTTTTTAGAAAGAAATATTGTGGATACTCCTTCACATTTGTGACCAAAATACTTGTGCGCATTAAAAAGCTTGGATTACTGTCTTTTGGTCCAGATTCTCATTATTGCCCTGACTATTTCCAGATTACGTGTGTCCACAAAGATCTTTACTAAACTGTGATACAAAATTGTTGTCATGGATTTTTTAAGTTTTAAACTAAGTATATAGTATTGTTAATGCATTAGAATCAAAGCAAACGGTATACATATATTTCGTTGTTGGCTGATAGGCTTCCCAAAACAATAGATCATTCTAAGTGCCTTGAATGTTAAATAGCTGTATATCCTGATAAACTTCCCTCTAGGGTGAGGGATGTCCTTAGAGACGGACAGGGATATATGGGGATACTCCTACTCATGGTAAATCTGGGATTTGAATGAACATGTCTCGTATTCAAGTAGATAACCGTAACATCAAGGTAGTTTTTATACCCCTCTCCACATTAGACCCATCATTATGTAGATGCAGGGTCAGGTGACAATGATTGGTAAACTTTGACATTGAATGACCAATGTTTTATAGTGATATGCGAAAAATTCGCATTCGTGGAACACATTTTCCAACTCGAATCGTTGGAGCCTCGTTCAGATGAATGACGGTTCTGTAAGTCGGTCTGTCGGCAAACCCCTGGCATGTCTTTAACTTAGAAAGTATGTCAGAAATGGTGGCACTTTCGGCTGTATCGGAAGTAAATACTGGTTATTTTTATTCAGCATCCTGTATATATTTTTGGACTTCAGGCAAGAATGCAGATACACTTCATATATACTAACGGGCTTTGAGATACCGCACACTTACATAAAAATTGACAAATGCAGGCCAGTGAATTATAGTATTTTTCTTCGTATCTTTACTTTTGCCGTATGATTTGTTATGGTTCTCTTATAGTAGGAGACCTATCTTAGGAGATTATATTCCTAATGTCGCGAATACCTCTAGATCTACTTGCATATACGCCTCATTATTTAGATTTCAGACTACAAGGCTGGAATATCAGTAGAAAATGACACTGCAAAGGTATTACGTATCTTCAAAAGTGACATTATGTCGATATTTTCGACATTATATTGGTTTTTTGTGACATTACGTGGGTCTTTCTACAAGATAATAACATAAATCAAATCCAAGCGGATAACCAAAACTTCCGTATTATGTACCGCGGTTATAATATGGTTCAAGATGACACACAGGATGGTGACGTCAGTTACTCGAATCGCTTGAACGCGTTGGTTTTAACCGCGGTTTGTTGCAAGTTACTTGAGATTCAAAGCTAGGAATTAGTTATGCATCTACTTTTGGAAATTACTTATGCAAATTTCCTGACTTTCAAAATTGAGGGAGATAAGAAGTAATTATATTGACTGTACACTGTACAGTAATTACACACAATGTGGGTGCGGTGGTGTTTCCCCGTAATTCTCCTCAAAGCTTGTGAAAATTAAAAAAAACGTAAAAATCTTAATTTATAACTTTGAACATATCCTTTCTTCAGAAAGGACAACATATAAATAAAATTTTATACACATAAGATTATACACATAATCATTCAGATGCGATCTTGCTATTCAAGCAATTTTCTTCTCAGAGATGAAAACTGCAGACTACAGAAAACTTATAACGATCCTAGTGAGCAAACGCGGAATGACTGATTGCACCCTTAAAACTACCTCGTCCGCAAGATGACATTTTATAGGTTTTTTTTTTTTGACGTTCGATAGCTCTTTTATATCAGTACCCATGCCGATCACCAATTGCCTGGGATCATCGAGAATTACAACGGCTCCCATTTTGTTTTCATTCAACCCTCAGAAGTACCTTTCGATTAGATATGGGCAGAACACTAACCAAGTTGCGCAACTATAAAAAATGAACGATTCCGCTTCGAGCAGGAATTTTGATTGTAAAGCTTTCGTCTTGGACCGTAAAAAGTTTTATAGCAGTTTTCTAATTTATATAGTGCCATAAAGTCGCTTTACTGTTCCTTTTAAGCACAGAAAATCTTATTCTGATACCACATAGATCTGATGTCTGCTTGAAACTGCGACTACTCCAGAAGTTTTTTATGGTAGGTATCCAAATACTAGGCTGCTGAAGAACTGAATAAATGGTGAAGTTGTTTATAGATCTTTAATTCCTTCCAGCTAAAAATAGGTGATGAAACTAAAGAAAGTTTGAACTTCCCTATGTAGTTTTATTTTCTGAAACGATACTGGAGTCAAGAACTCTGAATTTTCAAAATCTTCAATTTCAATTTTTAGAAAAAATTTGTATTTTGTAGACCACAATACAGATGCCAATAGAGTTTAGACGAGGTTTGCAGTGGGTATAGATGGGGTTCAGGGTTAACCTTAATGAGGGTCCAGTGGATGACAAGTTAAAGCCGCTTGGTATTTAGTTCATATCACCATCCACACATTTACATTTTGCTTTTGTACGCAACTAAATCCAGAAGTTTATGAGAGGTTTATGAGGTTTATGACAGGAAATTAAGGGTAATAGAATTTTTTGATGCAGTGACCCTTCCGTGATAATTAATTCATTATAAAGGAATCTAACACTGAGTTTTCATCCCTTTTAGTAGCTACAAAGTTTTCTCGTCTTTTTCATAACCGTTCGCATCTCTTTCTCATATCCGTAGCTTGTATGGAACATCAAAATACGAGTGGTACCTTCTGAATTATAGGGGTCCATTGATAACCGGCACGAAAGAAGTAGAGGAAGGACGCCTATTATCGGGTACCTTTTTAAAAATGTTCAGTAAAACTTTTCTATTCATTCCCAAAAGTTAATTGGTTAACATATTTATTGCTTATTGTTCCTAGTTTTGTTTTACAAGAGATAATTAAAATTAAGCAAACCCAGTTGCTGTTATTCAGAAAATTCGTAAATGGTGTCATTTCCTTAAATTAAAAAAGGGTTGCCTAATATCGGGTAGCAATATTAGCTATCTAAGATATTTTATTTTACAGTAAGGCACAGGATAATACAAAAAATAAAATAACTATTTCTCAATAACCAGAGAATAAAGTTCAAAAGAAACAAGTATTTATCCATCTAAAAATAATTCACAAATAAATGATTTCTCCTTGCCTATATCTGAGCAATCTTCGTGACACCAACGCAGACACTTCATGCATTGGACCCACTTGGATCCAGAAATATCTTCAGAGAACCAGTTGGAACAATAAAAGCATTCCACATCGACGTCATCTTGCTCCATGTTGTCATCCGTGTCTACCAATTGAATTTCATCACTATCAGAACTGCTAGATGAGCTTATCTTCCTCTTTCTTCCTTTTTTTCCTTTTGGGATCGATTTTTTATTGTTAACTTTTTCCATCTCGTTTTTTAGTTTTGATTTATTTTGATTCAGGCTAACTTTTTTCGGTGTGATCTTTTTTCTTTTTTTCAAGCTCTCTTCTAAATCTGTCTTATAAGGCGTAGAAGTGAGGATAGCTGTTGAACAACGTTTACCTCCTTTTTTAGAAGCTTCACCCGAAAAACCTGGCCTTGGAGACTGATATTTTGTCTTTAGGCTAGGTATAGGACAAATATCCTGAGGTACAACGAGCTTAGGTGTCGAAATGGGTGGTGTAGTTTCTCTTTCTTTTCTTAAGTTTTCAGCAACAGCAGGATCCACAGCAATCTGATTTTCGTCATTATCTCCTTCGACTGATTGTTTTTCATTTGAAGAATGGATGGCAAATTCGTCATCTCGGAAAATTGTCGGTTGGAATGGAAATATTCCACATTTTCTAAAACCATTCACTGCAATTTCACAACTCGCTGCTCTTAAATAGGCTCTTCCCATTAGTTCTGAAATTTTATAGGAAGTTACAACTCTCCCTGGATTTGCTCTAAGCCATGTTTCAATTTCAGCAGCATAATAAGTTTTGAAAGGTGACATAAAGGAGACATCGAGTGGTTGTAACTTATTTGTAGAATGGGGAGGTAGGCAGATAATATGGACGAAATTATCTCTGGCAATGTTGATAACATCAATATTCCTTGAATGAGAATAGTGTCCATCTAATATCAAGACAACTTGTTTGGGTTCGCTAGGTTTTACATGTAAAATAAAGTGCCTCAGCCAGTCTGTAAAAATGTCTTGCTGAATCCATCCCGATGGATGACATCTGGCAACGGACCCAGGGGGAGCTCCATTTAGAAGCTCAGGCTTCATATTTTTGAGGGGAAGCACCAACATTGGTGGTATGTAACGACCGACAGCGTTCATACACGTTACAATAGTTACTAAAGCACCTCGTTCCGAAGCAGTTAAAGCTGCAACTTGCCTTTTTCCTTTCAAACTTATCACTTTGGCATGTTTGTGTTGTACTGTCGTAATACCAGTCTCATCAACATTATAGATTGCTGCTGGATTAAAGCCAACTTTTGGTAAAACGCCACCAAGGAAGTTGAAAAATGCTTGAACATTCTCTTTTGTAAAACCCTTAACACGGGCTGCAGAAATTCCCTGTGGTTTTCGGAAAGACAATTTTGGGTGTCTTGACATGAACGATTTCAACCATTTTTTTCCAGCAGCGGCACTTCGGCAAGAAAAAGGATGCTTAAGCCCATTACGTATCGCCAGCTGAAATGCTAGTCTTCTTACATCTGACGCTCGGAGACCAAAATACCTTCTTTTCATTTCGAGAGCATACTCAACTAGTGCTTCTTCAAGTTCATTTGTTAAAGCAGGTTTTCTGTCTAATTTGATAGCAAGTAATGTATCAACCGGTTTCTTACTTATTACATAATCAATCAGTGTGCTTTTGGGCACGCCAAATGCTTTAGACGCCTTGAGAGTTCCCATTTCCTTGTTCTTAACTGCTTCTACTGCCCTCTTCATCGCTTCTGCAATCCATTGCTTTCTTTTTTTTTGGAGGCATCTGTGAAGAAACAGATGCTTAATAATTATAACTTCAATATAATGAAACAATATCTACGTCACAACATTAAGTGTTCCTTATATCGGGTACCCGATATTTGGCATCTTTACATGCCCGATATTAGGAAACATAACCTCAAAATATTACGACAATATATCTTAAAAAGCAAATCGAAAGGGACATTTTTCTAATCCTTAGTGGATGGCTGCAAGCTTACAGAAGACATATGAACATAAAAATAAACAAAAACAGACCTACCTTTTTATGAAAACACCAATTTAGTTAACACTTTCAAAATATTCATGGCGGATTTCACACACTTCCCGTGTTTGTGGAAAGAATGAAGGTCACAAAAACATATGAACGTTACAGGTTGCATTTAATGTGGTTCCTGTTACATGTTGGTCATTATAACAGTAGATGGCTGTAGTAGCTCGTCTAATAAACCGCTGCCCGATATTCGGAAGCTATCCGATATTAGGCATCCTTCCTATATGTCAAAAAAATACATAATGTTACTTGTCAGGATACGTAATACCCGTGCGGAAAGATAGACGACAGATAGGTAATTATTGCGCTTATTTTTCAGGTGACAAGAGACAGTTTAAACTGTAATCTAAACAGAGAATAGCTAGCCTTGAACAGAACTTAAAAAATTACGCTTCCTTACTTACTACGCCACTGGGCAAAGAGGTATTGTAATTACGAAAAAAAAATTCCGAATGATATATGTTCTAATCTAAGTTGTTATGGCACCTCGTCAAGTAGGACCAGGAGAAGGAATTCTAAATAAGTTTTGTCATTCATTAGACTTGGTAAAATAAACCGAGCAATTAAGGAGCGATCAATAACACTCATTCAGACATTCAGTGTAAACTTGAAGTGTCGTGGTAATACTGAACTACGGTTTACATCGGAATATTCATGATTATACTTTAGGTCCAGTCCGAAGACATCACTTTGTTTATTTACTATGCAGTCTGGCCCTGGAGTACTAGCCGCACACCAAGTTAAAAGACAAGAGATTCCCGCACCCGTCCCGTCGCGCTCCGGTCTTGCACGTTGAGTCATTCGGTTTTTGGTGTTACAGCCGTACGGTCGCCCGGCTTGTCTGTGCGTTAGGAAACACGTAAAATACGCGATTCCTTTTCAAATCGGTTTAGTGCTTGGTGAGTAGGTTGGTAAGTATGTACAACAATGGGTTGTTTTGTTGCTCATCTAGTAGCACGTTATATATAATATAAAATATACTTAGCAGAAAACCATGGAAGAAAAGCCTGGTGGCAGGGACCACGTCAATGGTTCCATGAAATTTCAGTTTTTTGAAATTGGCGGCTGCGCCAGAAAATTAGTATACGCATATCATATATGCACATTTTTAAAGAAATATGCACAATTTCTATTGACATCTTTGCACAATTCAAAATCTATCGAGAACAACACTGTCAAGGTCCCGTTCGCGGAGTAGCATCAATCGTAGTCGATCACTGAGCGTGTCGAGGCGACGTAGAGAGAGACGAGAATATGTGCGGGAATAAACCAGAATTCATCCAGCCCAGCTGATAATGCACAGCGTCAGGTAGGCCTAGCTGGTCGTTCCCCGTGCGGGCCGGAAGCTCAGGTACTGACAGGGCCGGATTTGGGAGCGGCGCCAACAACGCAAAACACTATGGACGATGTTTTGATACTTGACGATGCCGATTGTATGCCATTATCAGAGGACACACTAAATATTCTGGGTGCCGATCCTGAAAAGGCTAATACGTCTAGTTTTAAACTTCACGGTGCCCTAGCCTCCAGGTGGTCCCATATTTTGGCAAACGGGCTATCCGCCGAAGATATTTCTATCCTTAGCGAAAAACGAAATGTGCCATCTAATTTCGCTTTATTACGTCTTCCAAAAGTAAATCCCGAAGTGAAAGCTATTCTTTCATCCACACATTTAACTAGGGATTCCGCTCACTCCGGGTACCAATTGCACATTGGTAACGGACTAACCACCCGGGGAAAAGCACTCAACGTTATCTTGGAAGAAGAATCCAGCATCCCTAAAGACATTTTATACCAGGAACGTGAGGCTAGGAGCAGCAGGTCGAGGTCTCGTGCCGATTCGCCCCACTACTTTAGGCGTTCTCGTTCTCGGCTGAGCCGTAGACGTTCAAGGTCCGGGGATGTTCCGGCATGCACAATTTTGCATATTATCCACAATTTTACGAACATATGCCCAACATTCACCCCCCACACAAAATATGCACAATCGCCAATAAATAAAGTGCATTTTTTACACAAAACTGGCAATACATTTTCTTAACAGCTTCTCGAACTGAGTGAAATGTACTGTTAGACACAAACAAAATACGAATCCAGTAATTATTTGTTACGCATTCGCGTCCCGATGATTGTTCATAATAGGTAGCCCTAGTTAAGTTTAATAAGCGGGGATTAGGAGGTTAAATCACCCAGTTCCTTGAGGAGTCTTGTCAGGGAAAAAGTCTTTGACAGATTCTGCACGAATATCGGCGGCTCTTTTCCACGATATTCCGAAAACAAGGAAATATTTAATTAGCCCAGTACTTAACAAATCAGTTAAAGAACTGATTGAAAATACCATACCTGGTGAATTTTTGTTTGGATCAGATTTAGGTGAACGAGCAAAAAAGTTGAAATCTTTGGAAAAGGCAGGACAGGACTTACGTTTGCCTTCTATCCCCTCACGCACTAGCTCTCAATCAGAGGAAGAAGAGGGGCGGGGCTGCTCGTCCAAGAATGCAGGACCTTTAAACAGGTATCGCCCGTCTTACCGCAGGAGGGAGGTGAGGCAATACAAGGGCCATTCCTCGAAACAGTTTCCTCAGAACAGACAACAGCAAACCAGGAAACGCTGAAGGTAAAACAAGTTCCGTTTGCTGGCCGTTTACAGTTTTATTTGGACTCATGGTCCAAACTAACCTCAAATTTGACAATCTTATCCTGGATTCAAGGTTATAGGATTCCCTTTAAAGACAACCCTCCATCATGCCACCACTTGGTTAAAAATAATTTTTCCCCTACAGAAACATCGCTAGTAAGATTAGCTATAAACGATTTGTTAAGGTCCGGAGCCATACTCAAATCTGAGTCAAGGCCCGAACAATTTATCTCTCCATGTTTCCTAGCAGATAAATCCAGCGGTGGAAAAAGTTTTATTTTAAATCTAAAACAATTAAATGAATATGTGGAATGTCCGCATTTTAAAATGGAGGACCTACGAACGGCTATTAAAGTGACTCACAAAAACATGTATATGTGCACAATTGACTTGAAAGATGCATACCTTTTGGTACCCGTTCACAATGACCATCAACCATTCCTTAAATTTCAATTTGTAGGTCAATTGTACCAATTTACCTGCTTACCGTTCGGGTGATTCACAGCTCCGTTATGTTTCACAAAACTCATGAAGCCAGTCGCCTCTTTTCTCCGCACTTTAGGCATCTCTACAGTCAATTACCTAGAGGATTTCCTAATATTCGGAGATTCCTATGAATCCTGTCTCAAACATGTCAACACAACCATTTGTCTTTTAAAATCGTGAGGTCTTATAATCAATAAAAACAAAAGCATCCTAGTACCTACCACTTACATAACATTTCTAGGCTTTATGATAAATAGTGTAAATTCAAAAATAGAACTTCCTGACGAAAAGAAGCCTATCCCTGAAAGCATAAAGCCAGATATTTTTTGGTGGACAAATCATATTTCAAAAGCCTTCAATGACATCAGGTATGATTCCTTTCATATAACAATTTTTACCGACGCATCACTTACAGGATGGGGTGCTGGTTGTGGTCATGACAGAACCCATGGATTCTGGTCTGACTCTCAAAAACGGTTACATATAAATAATTTGGAGTTATGGGCTATTTTGTACGGGATTCAGTGCTATGCCAGAAATTTGAAAAACTGCAATATTCCAATTAGATGTTACAACACGACAGCTGTTTCATACATCAACAGAATGGGGAGTGTTCAATTCCCAGACCTCTGTTCGTTGTCAAAACAAATTTGGCAATGGTGTGAGCAAAGGAACCTCTGGCTCTTCGCTTCGTACATTCCTTCGAAGGATATTGTTATAGCAGACACCGAGTCCAGGAGTTCTTCGAATTTGGAAACGGAATGGTCGTTATGTCAAACCGCCTTCGACCGTTTAACCACCGTTTTCGGAAACCTAGAGATTGATCTTTTTGCTTCCCATACAAATTCTAAATGCAAGTTATATGTCTCCTGGCATAGAGATCCAGGATCTGCATATATTGACGCGTTTACGATTCCCTGGAATAGATTTTATTTTTACGCATTTCCACATTACAACAATATAACAGTTCGTATAAATTATGGTGGGGTTATTGCTTCAGTAATGACATTTCCCTTTTTAATCCCACAATCAAAGAAGTGGTGTCATTCTTGCAAGAATTGACAAATAATCAAAATCTTACGTATGGTACTTTTAACTTCCATACGTCTGCCCTTTCATTAATTTGCTCAAAGGATTTAGTCTCTAATCCGATAATTAAACGCTTCAAAAGAGGCATCTCTCGCTTACGGCCTTCACGACCAAAGTATACTGCCACCTGGGACCCTATACCCCTTCTAAATTATTTAGAGAAGTTATCATCACCGCTTAGTCTTCAAACTCTGTCACAGAAGTTAACGACGTTATTAGCCCTGATAACAGGAGAAAAACTCCAGACGATATCTCTTATACGTCTCTCAAATATAATCCATGGTCACAGTGAATCAACTATTAATATATCGGATCCAATTAAAACCAGTAGAGTTGGAAAACCTCAACCCACTCTGCACATCCCGATTTTTCAACAAAACCCCTTTCTTTGCGTGGCCACAATCCTGAAAGGATACATTGATAGAACGGCTTCTTTAAGAGAACCCAATGACGATTTCCTATTTGTGACAGGGAAAAAACCCCATGGCAAGGCGTCTAAAGACACTTTAAGCAGATG